CCAGGTTAGAGCGTCTCTAGTAAATCAACCATAATTGTTTACTCTAAACTCAGATTGACGCAAACGTGGCAGCGTTGGAAAGAAGACTCATAGTTCTTAAATTTGATAGATTATAGGTCACCTAACTCTTAATATTCTAAGAGATATGATAGTTAGCGAACGTCTTTTGCTCACCATGATAGTAAAAGAATGTTGTTGAAATTTAGAGTATATTTGAGAGGACAAGGTGAGAAGAAATAAGTAATATGAAAACAAGAAGTTCAGACCTCGTTTTCATATGATGAAACTTGGAGGAAGGACAAGAATACGTGGGCCAATTACATAAAATATGATAGATAATTTGTTAGTCTTAGCTTATCAAAGAAGTTCTTCTAAATAAATATAATATAATAATAAAGGCAGTAAGGATTTATTTGACATGGTTGATAAAATTTAAAGAAAAATGTCCAAGTCTTGTTTACTTATATAGCCCCGCAACGCAGGAATAATTACATTAATATTTGTCAGAAAATTAATAATCTAAAACAGAAATTAAAAAAAAAGACTTAAAAGGTGTAAGAATGACCTTCCTTAAAAAAGGTATTTTGCTTATATTATAGAGATTTGGGGAAAACGGTGACAATCTTCATCATTATACAAGAAGTCACTCATAGATGCTTCCAAATTTTTTCTAATGTTAATCCTCAGGAAAACATTGTAATTTGTGGGGCAAAAATCACACATTTTCAAAATAGATACATCTCTAATGGACAAACATTAAGTTTTATTTGAATAAAAAAATTAAAATTAAAATTCAAACAAAATTGAATTTTAGTTAATACAAATAATTTAAAATAAATGTTTATTTTAAAGCCCAAGTTGTAATCTTTGATATATAATACAAGTACATAAGAATATTCTTAATTAAATATAAAGTGGAGATGGGCTTAAAAATGAAATTGATCATAAGAGAAAATCTGATGTTTCATAAATACATGACAAACTATACAAATATATAGAGATATATAATAAAAGCATACACCATTTTAGTTTTTATTTTGAGGTATAAAATAAGAAAATATATCATGGGTGGTAAATCTTATTACCACATTTGCATTTCCATGCAAGAAGATAGTAACTAGTGTCATGTTCAGAAGAAGAGGCTGAGCCAGCTTTGTGTTTTCCTTGGTGAATGGGTGCAATTAGTGTAGCCATGCAAGGGCTGCAGTTGAATCATTTGTCATAGCACATAAGTTATGAATATATCAATATTTTTGTATGATGCAATAAGATCGTAGAAATTCTATCTTCCGACTCTTTTCTTATAAGCCATACCTCATAAGTTATGAATATATCAAAACATGCTCTAAAAAAAATAGTATTATCAAAGATATTCCATCTGAATAAGTCAAATAAGAGTTTTATCGAATTTTATGGAAAAACGTAAATAACATTTGTTAAAACGTCTTACTCTTCACAACAATATTACTTAAAAGGCCGTGAAATGTTAAAAAAGCAATACAGAATATATTGAAAGCTTAAAAGATTAGATAATGTGTGATCCTTAAAATTTAAGATTATAATAATTAGTATCCTTAAATTGTCCAGGTAAGTTTTAAAACTACCTATTTTGTTTCTAATTTTAAACTTATATTTTAAAAATTAATTAACCACTCTCAAATAAAAAGTATAAAGTAAAAATATTATGTAACTGTTTTTAAAAAATATTTTTTATAATTTTAAATAGTTTCTTAATTCCTTATTCGTAGGAGCCCTTTTTGAGCAATGCATAAGATTTATGCCCTACTTGATGAGGGATATTTTTTCTCTCTTTCAATGTATACACATAATATTATTATTATTAATAGAGTATATAGATTCTTCTGCATTAAAAAAAAAATCTAGGATTTTAAAATTCATAGACAACTCATTTTTTATATTAATATATATAGTCATAGAATAAAAATGTTTACATTAAAATATAATTTTACGTATTCAATTAATAATTATTATTATTTTACATTTTAGACAATTTATTTACAATTATTTTTAAGCTAGGTAGATAACTATAACCATCTTTTCCACAATCCGTTTATGTAAATATCCACGATTGACCCCACCACTTTATCATAGGCGTAACATCTTCTCCTTGTCTGCCTCTTTTGTAATTTAAGTTTTTTTTTCAAAATTTTTACAAACAATTTAAAATTAACTCAAATCTGAAATTCAAAAGTTTAATTAGTTAGAAAGTTAAATTTTAAAAATTATATTATTATTATATTTTATTTAAATTCTATAATTTATATTAAATGTTCATTCAAAATATCATTGAAGTTTGTGGGGAAACAAAATAACTATATTTTTTAGTCCATTAATTAATAACTTTAAATGTGCATTTGTGTATATCATTGTCATGTGTTTTTTTTTAAAAAAAAAATCTTTGCAATTTATTTTTAAAATTTTATTTGTAAAATTTTAAAATTATTATTTATTATCATTATTATAATTTAAAAAATTAGCATTTCATAAATATATATTATTGAATAATGAATAGATAAAATAAAGAAGTCTAACCTTTAGTACACTCACCGATTTCAAAGTCTACAATCCATTGAGTATAACAACAATATAGAAGATTCTCAATTTCCACTTATTAATATTGAACGATACGTTATTCCATTAAATCTAACATATTGTCAGAAAACATTAATTTTTTTATGAGAAAACACAACAAAGAATTTAAACTTCATTTATGATTACTATTGTTAGACGTCATAAGTACTCCTAATCTGTAAATCTATCAACAAAATCGAAAGAAATTAAATTAATACTTGAAGGCATTGATAAGTGTTATTCATATAAAAATCAATAATATAAAGCCTGAAATTCATAACAGAAGTTATGTTGATATTGACCAAGAATATATATATATAATATTGTAACAGATGAAAATATCTTATTTAAAAATTGTACAAAATAATAGTAGACAACAATTAATTAAAAAGAAAAGAGGGTGAAGAAATAATTATTGCAATAAATCGGTATAATAGAGATATTAATTTTATTTATGATCAACATGCAAATAATAATATCCCATCATTTAGTAAACTATTGCAATTAATTTCTTATCAATGTTATCATTAATATAGTCTAATGACTGAAAGTCTAAAATATCAAAATATAGTTGTGGTAAAGATCATAAGAACATCTTAAATTTCAAACTAACAAATAAAATTGTAATAACTACATAAATGCATGTTGAGAGTGCAACGAAAAAGAAATTCATCACACTATAGAATTGTACACCAAATAAATTCTCTAAATCTGAAAAAATATTGTTATGTCTCAATGAATCGAAAAAAAAAATAAAAAAAATCAAACTAAATATAAAATCAGCAATGGGATAAAAGAAATATCAGTAAATGTATCTTTTTTCAATTGTGCCAAATTATGAATGTCTTTGATTTTCTGAATTTTTTAATTGTATATAAATAGCAATAGAGAAAAAGGTAATGGGTAGAACAGTTTTTAACCACTTTAAATTCAAATACAAAAAGTAACTAACTTGCCATTTTAGAATAAAAATAATAATACTATGTGAGTTGGTTACTCAATTTGAAAAAGTTAAATTTAAAATCAGTTTTATTTTTTCTTTTAAAATAAGGCATATCTTCGGAACCGTTACTTTTAATTAGTGGGCATTTTTACTATTTATTTATTAAGGAAAATGATAACCCTAAACGGTTTATATTCAGTTGTTGCTAATTTGTAGGATGTTATAATGATTAAGAAAATAATTATTATTTATTATTATAATTTTAAAAATGAAATAAATTAGTAATAATTTTATTGATTCCGTTTTTGTAGTTGTAATTTTAGTGATTTCTTTGTCATGCTGAAAATATTTATTATTTATTATTTTAACTTTAAAACGAAATAAATTAGTAATAATTTTATTGATTCCGTTTTTTATGGTTATAATTTTAGTGATTTCTTTGTCATGCTGACAATTTTATATCTTATATTTTAAAAAATAAAGTAAATTGTGTGAGAAATTCTAGTGATTTCAAACATGAAAACAGTAGTTAGTTTGCATTTTATTAGGAACAAATATATATTCAATTTATTTTTTCATTATAAAAAGAGATCACTTCAACAGTTTTTGACGTGCACGAATTATAAAAACTCTTTTAAAATTTTGTTTTTAAATTGTTATTTTTTTATTTAATATATTAAAAAATAAATTATTATATTTATTATTTAATATATCTAGAAATTATATGATGCGAAATAGATAGATTTGTGAGGACAGTGTGAGAAGAAATAAGGAATATGAAAACAAGAAGTTCAGACCTCATTTTCATATGATGAAACTTGGAGGAAGGACAAGAATACGTGGTCCAATTACATAAAATATGATAGATAATTTGTTACTCTTAGCTTATCGAAGAAGTTCTAAATAATATAATAATAAAGGCAGTAAGGATTTATTTGACATGGTTGATAAAATTTAAGAAAAAATGTCCAAAGTCTTGTTTACTTATATAGCCCCGCAACGCAGGAATAATTACATTAATATTTGTCAGAAAATTAATAATCTAAAACAGACATTAAAAAAGACTTAAAAGGTGTAAGAATGACTTTTCTTAAAAAAAGGTATTGCTTATATTATAGGTTTGGGGAAAACGGTGACAATCTTCATCATTATACAACAAGTCACTCATAGATACTTGTAGATTTTTTCTAATGTTAATCCTCAGGAAAACATTGTAATTTGTGGGGCAAAAATCACACATTTTCAAAATAGATACATCTCTAATGGACAAACACATTAAGTTTTATTTGAATAAAAAATTAAAATTAAAATTCAAACAAAATTGAATTTTAGTTGATACAAAAAATTTAAAATAAAATGTTTATTTTAAAGCCCAAGTTGTAATCTTTGATATATAACACAAGTACATAAGAATATTCTTAAGTAAATGATAAAGTGGAGATGGGATTAAAAATGAAATTGATCATAAGAGAAAATTTCAATGTTTCATAAATACATAGCAAACTATACAACAGATATATAACAGAAGCATACACCATTTAGTTTTTATTTTGAGGTATAAAATAAGAAAATATATCATGGGTGGTAAATCTTATTACCACATTTGCATTTCCATGCAAGAAGATAGTAGTTAGTGTCATGTTCAGAAGAAGAGGCTGAGCCAGCTTTGTGTTTTCCTTGGTGAATGGGTGCAATTAGTGTAGCCATGCAAGGGCTGCAGTTGAAGCATTTGTCAACACTACACCTTGGTGGCCTTGATCCTACCTTCACTCCGCCGCATGTTCCCTTTTCCCAATTTTCAACCTCAACACTACCTGTACCTCAATATATCTCATTCATCAACTCACCATTTAAACGTACAAATTAAGAAATTTTATTATTACCCTCGAGCACAAAATTTTAAGTGAAAAAGAACTACTTTCGAATTAATTATATGATCTCATAAATATTTATGTACTTATAAATTATTTCGTTAAATGTAAAATCATAACAGTATCAATTAAATTTAGATACGGAGAATAGTGTATTTTTAATCTATGACTATTTGTTTTCGACACCGACGAGATCTTCTTCTCTTTCTTCTTCATTTTTACGAGTAAAGCATGAGAAGAGGAAAATAATGATGGCACCAGTTTTTTTTTTTTTTTTTTAAATAAAATAATTTAATTCATATTTAAAGCACTACGAGAATTTATACTATTAGATCTATTAAGCATATATATTATAATATATAGTATAATTTTATACTATAAGGGAGAGGATGCCATTAAAGATAATTAAAAGCTAAAAGATTTTCAAATAGGAAAGATGGTATCTTTTTTCAACTAACTATATATAAATGAATGACATATAAAATAAAATACTCTAACTAGAGTTGCTATACTTTGTTCCTGTTTAATTTTCCTACTGTCGCGATAAACAAATACTCTATTTCATTTGTTTAGGAGTAGTAAGTAGTGTTTTTAGCTTGGAGACAACTCTTTAAATATTTAATCAAATGCTTTGTACAAAATAAGGATAAAATGAATGAAGAAAAAAATGATTGGATTTTGACTTTGTAAAATAGGATTTATTTTGAAAACATAATAAAAAGATAAAAATAGCAAAACGGTGGAGGAGTAAACAAAAGGAAGAGGAAACAATGGAATTAAAAGGAGTTATATATGTGTTATTAGTATTTATGGGATGGAGGATGATGAGATGGCGGAAAGTAGTAAAGTATCATTTATTTCACTTAATTAATAAAATACTACTTACCTGTAATTGGAAGATGACATAAAAAGGCAATGATCAAAGCAATTACTACAACTCTCAGCTCTTGACTTGAATATTTAGTGAATGAAGCCATGAATAGCGAACACTTCAACTTTTCAAATTCTCAATAAATCTTGTGCTACTTCTGCAGCCCTATTCAATGTTAAGAGACAACCGTTTACATATACGGCAAATAATTCAATCATAAATTAGAGTGGGTCCCCCTTACATCTTTCATAACAGTAACATATCTCTACCTGACATGATACTGGTTGGTTGTTAAGAAATAAATGTTCTCTTCTTCAAGTTGCCTCCGGGGCCAAACATAATTGTATATACGTTAGTCTCTTCGTCCAATAATATTTATCCACTATACTAAAAATAGATATCCAACAATACTTGATTACTTTATAAAATCTATAGATAATTTTACTCTTAGCTTCTAATTTATCTTTATCATTAATTATAGTAATTTCCCTATAACATTTTTAAGACATTGTATTTATTATATTCAAAAGGGTGATATAGTTAAATTATCATTCTATTTATAGTTTCTTAAAAAGTCAATAGTGGATAACTATTGTTTGACAGAAGGAGTAACAAAATTTAAAATTTTCCTTTTAGTTTAAAAAATGTTGTACTTGTATTATTTGATTATGTACCAAAAAAACCAATACAATAATAAACGTATGCATAAACATAACTCTTAACTTGGTTTCAACGGACTACTATGTCCTCCAATTTTGAGTGTGCACAAATAGACACTTAAACTTGTATAAAATTGAACAAGTAAACACACGTGTCCTATATGACATAATACACGTAGGACACCACATAGGACACAAAATCGCAATGCCATGTAGGATGAATTTGTCTATTTATTCAATTTTATACAAGTTTAAGTGTCTACTTGTACACACCCAAAGTTAAAGGTCATAGTTACAAACTGACGTCAAGTTAAGGGTCATGTTTATGTAAGTAAAATGTTTTATTTCAAAAGATTAGTGTAAGAAAAGAATTTGAAAAGCCAAAATTTAATAAAATGAAGTGTAGTTAAGAAGCTAATTGTTTACTTGGAAAAGATGGTAATTGATAAGAAAGTGCTGGCTTCTTTATTGTTAACTTGCTCCAAGTGTCACCTTTGTGGACAAGTGTCCTAATTTTGAGCAATCTTCTAGCCTATAAAGTGCTCCTCTCCATTTGATAATTTACATAAGGAAAATACTAATCACTTTCTTGCTCCCTCTTTTCACTCTCGTTCTGTCTCTCTCTATTGGATTTTTATCTTATTAAATTTTGGCTTTCATATTTTATATCCCCTAATAACTTGCTGATGTTAATTAATTTGTTGATTTTTATATTCTTTATTTAAGATAGGAAAGTGCTTGTTTAATTCTGGGGAAATATTTCATACCGTTGAAATAGTTTCTTAGGATAGTACTTAGCACGATTCAAGTATTAATTTTATGCACTATTATTATATATCATTGTAGTAATTTTCATCTTATTTTCAGAACTATTATTTTGCTAAATAATAAGGTTATTTTTTATTATTATTGTAAAATTTCAATTATTTCCCAACAGTTTATGTATTATCATGGTATTATTTAGGCAAATCGTTCGAGGTAACATGTATAATTTATGGAATTTTTGAACGCATCATGCATTATTCAGAAAAGGCATTAGAAAAGAAAGGAAAATATGCGCCGTATAGTACAAAATTAATATGAGATGGGGAATACACCTGTACACGTAAAGGGCTGACCAGAAGACAGTCAACTTAATACTACTACTAATTATTTGACCTCCATTAATTCCTTCTTCTAAAGTACTCCCTCCTCCGTCTCATATTATAGGTCATCTTTTTCATTTGCACTTGCATTAAGAAATAAGGTAATTTTACCCTTATATTCTTATTTAATGTTTGCTTATGACAACTTTGTAATAAATGATGAAATATTAGATTTCAAAAATATAAATGCATTTGGATGACTATTTAAATTTTACTTTTTGGAGTCAAATTTTTTCACCAATTGATTCAAAAATTTAAAAAAAATAAATTTCCCACCTCAATTTTCCTATATATTTTGTGTAAAATGTTTTTTTTTATATTTTTATATAGAAATTCTTAAAGCAAACATGACAATGAAATTAATTACTTGTAGAATTCCTAGGTTAGTCAAAGTAAATACATTTATAAGATTAATTAATTAATCAATCAAGAGTATAATGGGCAAAATATGATAATTTATGTATAAATTTTATAAAATGACATATATTGTGGTCCAGCTACTTTTAGAAAGGGTGACTTATAATATGGGACGGAGGGAGTATGAGAAAGAGAATGTATAGGCTTAGACGGGAGAGGGTCTACAATTTATGACGGTTGGTCTAAAAATTTCTGGATTATATGACTGCATTTATGATTGAAATAAATCAATTTTGTGGATATCGATTGCACTTCACATATTGTCACGCCCAAATTGATTCACTTTAGTAGTAAAATACCATTCGACATTCAACAATATGGCTTCGTAGGGTCTAGGTGAAACATAAGGGCTTTATGGGGATCTTTTACATATTCAACCTATTTCACATATTTTCAAAGCAATGTTGCTCACTACTAAAAAACTGTAAAAAAAAAAGGGTAAAAAATGATGGACTATTTCACTTTTTTCGTTAAAATTGACGGAAAAGCGACGCAGTCATGTCCGTCGCTTTTTGGCTCGATGCTTTTCAAAAAGCGACAAACAGCGTCACTAAAAAGCGACAGACTACGTCGATTTTTGAGTTTGTCGCTTTTTAATTATTTTTTTTCAGTAATTTTTTTTTAACAAAAGCAACGGATGTTGCTTTTATATATTTTCATTTATTTTTTATTTTCAAAAAACGACGCAATCCGTCATTTTTTTGGAAATTTATATTTTGAAAATCCCAGAAAAGCGACGGACTAAAGGACATTGTCCGTCGCTTTTTTGGTAATTAATTTTTTAAAATACCTAGAAAAGCGACGGACTAAATGACTCTGTCCGTCGTTTTTTTGGGTTTATTTGAAAAAAATAATGTAAAAAATCGACGAACAAAATCACTCTGTCCATCGCTTTTTCTGCAATTTTTGCCAGTTTCTGCTACCCACCTGCAATTATAATTCAATTCATATTCAACCAGCCCAATCAAACAATATAATGTAAACATCACACACAACATATAAAACATCAAACTTAAATCAATATTCAAAAATGTGTAAATCACAATACAAAAACTTATAAAGTATTTCAAAATGTGTTTCAAAAGAGACCTAAACTAGGGAGTGGCATCTACAAAATCCTCTTCCTCCTCCTCATTGTAGTCGTCGGTGTCCTCGGGAGCCGAAGTAGTAGGTCGACAAGCGAGGTTCATCACTTGTTATTTGATTTGCTGAACAGTCACACTCATTCTTTATTGTTCAGCTACTCTTCTCTGCTCCAACTCTGTCAGTGCCAATGTAAGTTGTGCTATTTGAGCCGACATAGCAGCAATCTGAACACCGTCAAGTGCCTCGACTTGGCGTGATGATCCAATACCTTATAAGCCTAACTGGAGTCGTCCCTAGACCATAGAATCTACCCTTGTGTGTCCTCCCTACCACTTCTGTCCAAATTTGGGTGGACAGTTCAGGTGTCATTTGGACCAAACTATCTAGATTCTCAGCGACGTACTGATGAAACTCATTCTGCATATTAAATATAAACATTGAAATCAATATATATACATATCATAAATATATTCACTATTAATATATATTATTCATATTAAATAACTTACAAAAGTTCGTTCGGCCCTTTCCTCTACCCATACATCCGGATCCGACTCATTTTCTTTCTTCTTCACATGAGTCTTCTTGAAAACATCCAGTCCAATGGGAGTGCGCCCCAATTATTTTTCCTATAAATAAAAACTGAAATTTATAACGATATATATGAAGCAACTAATTATTTATTTAAAAGTTTGAATTAGAACTTACCATCTCTCTTGTAATTGTTCCAACGGTCTTTGCATCTCCGATGTGCAACGAGCCACCCTTAAGACTGCCTCTAGCCTTTTTGGCTCGTTCTGATATTGCCTTAAACTTGTCTGTGTTCCAATACTGACGCAATTCATCAAAAACATGAGGCAACATCCAACCCGGACGTTGATCAGTATCCCAGACTTTTTTTAGCCAGCTAGACGGTCTCAGGGATGCCCTCCTCTCTAATGTGATCGCAATGACCAAATTGTACCTTGACTCCCAAGTACACATAGTCTGAAAAAAATTGAATAGCATTAATTAGATCGATAGTAAAAAAAAATGTAAAGTATACTAAAATTAATAAACTTAACTAAAAAATATATACCTTAAATTCATTAAACATCGTCTGGCATATACTATTTGGAATCTCGCTCCAAGAGTGATAAGCATGTGTATAAAGTCTTCTAACACAGTCTTTTAAAGCCCAGTGTAACGACCTGAACCGTCGTTATTTAGGAAAAGCAAAAATTCATGAAATTCTGGGACATTGTCCCACTAGGGCGGGCTAGATGCCATTAGGGCGGCGGCGCCATGGCGGGGTAAACTGGTGCCAGAGCGGAATATGCGAGATAAAATATAAATAATGCAAAATTTTATTTTCTCCTTCTTCCTAAAACACCTAAAATAGATGGAGATCACCCCAGAAACCCTCCAAAAGCTGCTCTAAGCTGGGGAAAGAAGGAGGAAGAGAGTTCTAGCATGGGGATGGCAAAAGCTTGTCAAATTCCAATTAAATCCACCGTTCCATCGTCCGAAAATCAAAAAATTATTTACAATTCTACGAATGCTTGGCACCCAGGTAGGCTAGGTTTTATTAATTGAGTAGTTATAAATCTGTGCTCACTTCATATTTAATGTAAATCAATGGTAGGATTTATGCGTAGGCCTTCGTGCACCGAACAGAAGATGATTTAAATCATAGAAAAAAGCCTTAGGTGATGAACTAGGGCTAAGTTGGTTGAATTATTGTTAAGTGATATATGTCGATGAATACTTCATTGTGATGGTTGTGATTTCATGATTGTGTGATATATGATGTTCTTGCTTCATTATAATACGTGTATGTATGCAATGTTGCATTATTGATCACACTATTGGTAATGAGATAGATGAATGATAAATGTCATGAATCATGACTTGATTATATGATTATGAGAATGTAATTGTGATTGTGATTGTGGTTGTGGCTTGTTGAATGGATCGGGTGTTGCATTCCGAAACACTAACTTGGATCGATTGCCACGTTCCGGCATAAATATGGGATCGATTGCCAGGTTCCGACATAAATATTGGATCGAGTACCACGTTTCGGTATGATAACAATTTGGGTGTGGGTTCCATGAGAGAACCAATGACTTGACATAATTGTGTATCTTGAGGGCTGTGAAATTGAATGATATTGTAATTCCCCGGAGTTGTTATATGGTTATGAGGACTTATATCTGATTGTTCTTTTATGTTGAGTAAATTTGTTACGTATCTCATTGTTGAATGAATCAGGAACGACAAGGGTTCAAGGGTCATAATAATTGAGAGCAAGGGTTGTCCGTGTGTTGTAAGGGTAAAAAGTGGGGGTAGTGTATGTGTAATTACTTAGGTGGATTTCACCTTGGAGGAAAGGTATGTCGTGGGTGGTTAGTCGGAATGCCTGTAGTTGTATTCGTGGACTCTTCTATGCGTTAGAATGGTTAGGCTAAGATCAATAACCTAGTAAGTAGGTTGACTGAGAAGGTGGTTAGTAGTAAGGGTGCTAGTGTAATTCTGTGGTGTTCCAGAGAGCGTAAAAGTGGAGAAGCAAGTGGTTTATCGCATATTCTTGCTAGTTGTTCTCTTATGTTATGCGGTGGGCGTCGGGTTGACCGATGATGCCTACCAGTACGTGTGGTTTTGTACTGATACTACTCTTGCTATGTTGTTGGGCATAGTCTGGATGTAGGTTGGTGATGTTTCATTAGATGAAGACAAAGAATTCTCCAGCAACTTCTACTTTTCCTTTCGCATGGTGGAAGCTGTGTCTTTTCATTATTATGTCCTGTTGTACTCTTAATAGCTCTTGTACATGTTTAGACTAGATCCTTGGGGGTGTTAATTACTTTACAAGTCTTAACCCGAATTTGTTTTAAGAAGGTTTTCATTTATAAAAATGCTATAATTTCATTTACCTCCATTTTTCGTTAATTTTCCGCATGCTTTAGCTATTGGGATATAAGGGTTCTCCTACTTAGGTGTTAGAGTAGGTGCCCGCACGGCCCGGTGGGTTGGGTAGTAACAAATTGATATCAAAGCCCAGGTTACTGGTCTCCATTACAAGAGCAAAATGTGGACTAGACTCCTACGGATTGGTTTGTTGACGTCCACATCTAATCTTCAGGAAGCTAGGAAGCATTCTAGGAAATTGTTCCACTTTTTCTCTCCTTTCGTGCAAGTGTCGCTTGTGGTATGACTTGGGTCCAATTGGTATCTCAACAAAGTAAATCGGACGTCGTGATTACGACTGAGGGGCCACAAGCAAAGCAAATTGGAACTGAGAAGATTCCAATTGGTATCTGGTTCGAAGGGTTGCGTAATTGCATGGATGATGGGAAATGGTCATCCATAGATGCAAACTAACTAAGAACTTGGACTTGTCTGTGCATTGTATCTTGGAAACTGTGAATGTGTTTTTCTTGACATTCGAATTAACTGCGACTGCGTGCTTCTTGTTGTCTAAATCAACTGCGAGGTTGTCACACCCCTTTTTCGCGCGGCGAAAGGATTTTTCCAATTTAAGTGATGGTATTGATTAAGGGATTATTTTATTTTTTCAGAGTCGCCACTTGGAATTGAGTTATGGTTATCCAAGTCACCTTTTCTTTTTAATCTCTAATAAAAAGGAAATGACTCTTTATTTGGTCTGCAAACTAGAAATTCGGGTAAGAAATTCTGTTGATCGAGGGGATGATATTAGGCATCCCTCGAGTCCCGTGTATCTAGCACGGTCGCTTTTATTGACTTATACTTATTTGAATTATTTTTGGATATATTCTTTATGCTACAGTTTCACTGATATTTTTATTGTTGAACTTTTTATTTGGTCTCGACCTAGATACGTAACCACATTCTTGGTTTTGACGTTTAGAGACATAACTGTCTTCTTTGCATCACACTTATTAACTTTATCTAAAAAGTGTTATTTTCAATTAATGAATTATAATTATATTTTTGGAACCACAAACTCGAAACCTTAAGGTTATAATCCTAATAAGGAACCACAAACTCGAAACCACGAAAGTGAACCTCGACCTCAACTTTTGTTTGTGAGTGAAAGAAAAAATATAAATAAAATGTGAGTTGTTTTTTTTCTTTTTTCCGTGGGTCTGTGTTGCGTTTTTTCTTCCTTTTTTTTTGTACGTTTTGTGTGTGTGCGCAGAATGGGTTTTTTGTGTGTTGTGCGTATGTATGTTGGTTGTATTTTTCCTCCTCCTCTTTTTTTTGCCGTAGGTTTGTTTGTAGTGTTTTTCCTTTGCTGATGGTTTTTTTTTCGTGTGTGAATGTGTATTGTTGTGTATTTTTTCTGTGGGTGTCTGGGTGTTGCTTTTTCTTTTTGGTTGCTGATTTTATCTTTTGGGTTGTAGGCTTTTTTTTTTGAATGTTTTTTTTTCCGTCTTGTGTAGTTGTAGTAAATAGGTATAGGGATAAGTGGGGAGTGGGGTAATGTGAGGTGTGAAAGGTGTGTTGTGTGCAGATGATGGGGTTGTGAGTGGAGTGGGGTGAGACGTGCGTGAGTGGGGGGTAGGTTCTGTAGGTTAGTTTTAGTTTTTTTTTTTTTTAATATAACACAATATAATATAATATAATATAATATAATATAATATAATATAATATAATATACTAAGAATATTATTTAATTATTTTTTAAAACTAACAAAAATTGAGTAGCTAATAAAAATTATAATTAAGAAATACTAGTTTATTTATTAAACTAAAATTAAACTAAAACATATTATTTTTATTATTTTAAAATAAACTTACTAAAATAAGACAAAATTAATATATCTAACTTAGAAATAAAAGAAACATTTAAGGAATAAAAAATAGTGTAAAATCCTATGTTCGGTCAAACCGATAGGTTTCCAGAACACAAATCTTTTTAAAAAAAGACTTATCTTTGTGATTGGTTTCCATATCCTTTAGGGTAGATGGAGAAAATAGATAGAAATTAAAATTTCCATGAACACATGACAATCATGACTTTTCATACCTATCAATTTTCCTTTCCTATTCATATCTGCCCGCTTTTCTAAATTCGAAGCATAGCCCTTCGACATCCTCAAATTTTTAACCCACTCACAAATTTCACGTTTCTCATCCAATGTGAATGAAAAGCTGGCTTTGGGCTTAACTATTTTACCATTTTGTAATTCCTGCAGCCATAAGTCTTTTCTCCTACAATATTCCTTTATGTCCATTCTAGCTTTTGGATTGTCTTTTGTCTTACCCTTAACATCCATCTCCGTGTTAAACAAATTGTCAAAATAATTTTTTTCAATATGCATCACATCAAGATTATGTCGTAGCAGATTGTTCTTTCAATACGGCAACTCCCAAAATATGCTTTGTTTGGTCCAATTATGTTCAACACCATATCCAGGAAGTCTAGAAGGTGAAGCTTCTGTAATTTTAGGTAATTAAGAAACTCTCTCCCAAATTTGATGCCCTGTGAGTAATGGAAGTGGGGTCACTTTTCAATCTTATTTTTCCTAAATGCATTTTTCATCTTTCTAAACTCATGATCCATTGGTAAGAACTGGCGATGACAATCAAATCATGTATTTTTTCTGCCATGCTTTAACGTGAATGACTTACTATTTTCCATGCAATACGGACATGCTAGCTTTTTCACTGTCATCCAACCAGACAACATCTCGTATGCAGGAAAATCATTAATAGTCCACATTAAAGAAGCACGCATAACGAAATTCTGCTTAGTTGATATATCATAAGTCAAAACACCTTCAGACCACAATTGTTTGAGCTCATCTATCAATGGTTGTAGATAGACATCAATCAAACTTTTTGAATTACGGGGACCTGAAATAACACAACTTAGAAAGATGTAGGGACTGGTCATGCACATTTCAGGAGGAAGATTATATGGAGTAAGAAATACCGATCATAACACAACTTAGAAATATGTAGGGACTGGTCATGCACATTTCAGGAGAAAGATTATACAGAGTAAGAAATACCATCCAGCATGAATAAGGCGAAGCATTATTAGAGAATGGTGTGAAGCCATCTGCACACAACCCCAATCTAATATTTCTTGGTTCACTACCAACAGATGAATGAGACAAGACACCCAACAGCCTTCTATATTCACGATGCCATCTCATATGTGGGGCAGACCTCATCGATGCATACAACCTCTTTAACCTAGGAATAAGAGGTAGATAATACATCGCCTAAACTGGGACCATCTTTCCAGTCGGAGTCCTCTTCTAACGAGCATGTCCACAAAACTTACAATTTTCTAATTCACTATCAGTCTTGTAAAACAACATGCAGCCATTAACACAACAATGAATTCTATCATACGTCAATCCTAAGTTGGAAACCAAACATTTTTCCTGATAGAAGTTCTTAGGTATATTAAACTCCGGATTAACTAGTTCACCCAAAAGATCAACCATTGAGTCCATAGCCGCATTAGGAACATTTCAACCTGATTTAATATTCATTAATCTAACCGCAACTGACAAGGAAGAATGCAGACTCCCTTCACATAGTGGACGACTAGACTCTTCTAATTGATCATAGAAGCGACTTGCTTCTTCATTAGGAGTTTCATCAACATATTGTTCGGGTTTCTTCCCACCTTGAACCCCAAAGCATCATTGGTCATTTCATGAACCCTATCATGTTCAATCCTATCATCATGTTCAACCCTAATTTGGTCATGTGGTGCAAGCATATTCTATTCATCTACATGCATCGAATTATAAAACATACAATTCAATCCATCTCTTTCTCCATAATCAATCCATACAAAATATCTAGGCTTAAATTCATTACAGTACAAATGAACCATAACTATATCTGGTTCAAAAAAATTTAAGCACCTACATGCACTACAAGGACACCTAACCAATCCATTATTCTTGAAAATGTCAAGTGTCATTGTATGTTCAATAAAATCTCTAACACCGTCAATAAACTCAGGTTTCAAACCAGCACCAGTTTCATAATGCATATTATACATGCACAAACGATAATCCATATACAAAAATATAGATATTCAATTATATTATAAATTAAATTTAATAATAATTTTACTACAGTAAACTAATTTATATTGTTAATACATATTTATAATTACTTATATACCTAATTAATTAGTTCATAAATACTACATTTCAAGATCTACAAAGTTCAAGTTTAATTAATTCATAACTTTTAATTAAGTTTAAGCTTTCAAACTAATTAAGTTCAAGTTATTATAAATTAAATTGAAAGTTATAATTAAGTTCAAATATATTAAGGTCAATGAGATTTTAATAAGTACTTCAAAGTTCAATTATTAAGTTCTATAATTAATTGAGGTCATCAAGAATTAATTAATTATTAAGTTCTAAGTTCAATGTTCAAGTTCTAAATTCAAGTTCATATCAAAGTTCTAAAATTAGTTATACATAAATACTTCAAATCCAAAAATTAGCTAGTTATTATATTCAAGTTCAAGTTCAAGTTCAATAACTAAATTCAAGTTCATATCTAATTTCTAAACTTAGTTATATATAAACTTCCAATCCAAAAATTAGTTATATTCAAATTCTAAGTTCAATTTTTCTTCATTTTCTAAATTCAAGTGCATATAATCTCTAAAATTAGTTAAATATAAAATTTTAAGCCAATAATAATTAGTTATATTCAAGTTCTAATTAAGTTCAACAACTTCAAGTTCTAAATAAATTCATCATATATATCAAATTTCTACAATTAGTTATACATAAAATTCTAACTCAAGAATTAATTAGTTATATTCAAATTTCAAGTTCAAGTTCTAAATCTAACTTCAATTCATCAATTTTCAATTCATCTAACTTCAAATTAACACTCCACTAACTAACAATCAACCAATCCTAACTAAAATCAAAAACCCTAAATCATTCACTAACTAACTAACAATCAATTAAAAACAAATTCAATACACTAATTAACAAAATCAAATCTAACTCAAATTGAAAAAAAATTAAAAATAATTTCATGAAATCCTAACCTTGAATTAAAGGAGAAGGAAACAATGGAGAAACTATGGAGTGGGGTCGGGGTTGGTAGCGGCGCAGTGGAGTGGGGCAGCGGCGACGGGCAGCATCGACGTCTCTTTGTCGACGTCGACGTCGGCGTCTAGAGAGAGGAAGAGAGAAGGAAGAGAGAGATAAAAAATGGGAAATTTCGCGTCTCGGCTTCAGATATTTTAACAAAAGCGACGAACAACGTCTCTTTGTCCGTCACTTTTTAAAAAATATTTGACCAACATTTTGACCAAAAACCATTGACTAAGAGACACTGTCCGTTGCTTTTATTAAGTATTTGACCAGTATTTTGACCAAAAAGCGACGGACTAAGAGATGTTATCCGTTGCTTCTTTAAAAAATAATTAATCATTTAAATTAATAAAAAGCGACGGACGGCATGGTTATATTTGAATTTATAAATAAATATTTTTAATAAAAAGCGACGGACAAAGTCTCTAACTATTTTTAATTATTAATTATATATCTATTTGACGCAAAATTCCGCGAAATAAAGCGATGGACTAAGAGATGCTGTCCGTCGCTTTTTGTAAAATATTTTTTAAATATTTATTCAAAAGCGACGGACAATGTGACAATTGGCGTCGCTTTTCAGAGCGACGTCGTCCGTTGCTTTTTCTTCCGTCATTTTTAACAGTTTTTTAGTAGTGGTTAGACCATCTCCAACCCACTTCTATTTTACTCTCTATTATCTATATTTGTAGAGTAAATGTAACGACCCGCTAGGTCATTTTGAGAACTAGGACTATTTTAACTCTTTCCATAAAATTTAAATTAAAAACTTTAAAATATTCGGTAATTACGAGTATCTAGTTGATGAATTTTTATTTATTAAATAGTTAATATAGTTGAATAGTTAATGGGCCAAGTCCATGCCTTATTAATGGGAAAATTGTATGAAATAACAAACTATTAATTCAAATTAAATGTTATAGCCATAGTTTATTTTAATTGTAATTCGCAGCAAACATCCCCTTTTTTGTCATCTGATTCGGTATACAATTAATCATTTTCGGTATACAATTAGTCATTTTATACATTTCGGTATAAAATGTATAAAATGCGTTTGTGTTTGTATAAAATGAGAGAAAATAGTATATACAAATACAAATACATATATAAATTTTCGTCCTATACACTTATAATTATACAAATACAGATCTTATTATACAAATTACAAAGTATAAATGAATTTATACAAAATTGAACAATTTGTATAAAATTGGATGTTTATAGCGAATTATACAAATCAAAAGCTCCATAGCAAACATAAAATTTACTATGAAGTGCAATTATGCAAAATATAGCTATAACATACAAATATAATTTTTATGTTTGCTATATGTGAAAGTTGCTTTTATTCAATTCTCTTTATTACTTGGCCCACGTAATTAAAATATGTTAGTGGAGTTAGTTTAGAGAAGAAGGGAAAACAAAAGAGTTGGAAACTAATTTGTGCGGCGTAGAATACAGAGCAAAGAGGAACGGAATAAAATATTGCAGGTAAAAAGCTTTTCTTTAGCCGACTCTATTTTCTGCATAAGCGCGCATTAGTGGTATAAATGGTTGGTGTGAAGATATCTGTTGATAATGTATTATTTTGCTGTCACTTGGTATCACAAGTCTTTCCCAAGCATAGTACAGATTTGAAATAGTAGTCCAGCTCAATATCTAGATTTTTATGGTGGTATTAATTCCTATTGAGGGATTCATTCCATTGAAGGATAGATAATGAATTGGATAATTATTTTAAATGGTGTTAGTATACCTGATATCAGTACTTCAACTGAGGTGGCTCGCTTCAACATTAGATTGACATATTCTATTCCCTCCGATTTGGGATCTTGTCCCCGACAGCTAACTGGACCTTCTGAACCATAGAGGATGAAAATAAACACCCGTCACAGTAGAGAAGTGAAGTTGAAGGTGAGTTACTCGAAGTGGTAGAGAAATACCTGTAGCAGATCAGATCCGCTCCAATGCTTGAGGTCCAAATCGTTCAAGATATGTTAACACCTGTGTGGCGATTGGAAGAAACTATCATCGCACAAAGGCAAACATTGATTAATCTTTGCTCACAAGAGAGGATTTGTACACTCAGTCGTACCTCTCTTAGCTTGGAGGAAGATTCACTTTCCACCTTCTCTTTCTAGATTAGCTTTTTTGTTCATTTCTATTTTTATTCTCAATAAATCATGGCCCTGTAAGGTCATTTTAATTATAAAAAAAAAGAAAAAAAAGTTAGATACAATTTAAGTATAATTATTAGGTTAAATTGAATGATTGTTTACTTAGTAATGATTAGTATGCAATTATTAGACAATGATTACAAAGTTACGAATTAGAAAATCAATGCAGGGTTGGGGTTTTGGTTTTCATTTCGTAGTGATGTGCAGATAAGGGTTTTAAAAAGCATTGTTCTTTTATTCACATAAAATAATGGTTTCCTATAGTGGGTCCTTACTAGTACATGGTTGTTTAAAAGAAAAGAACGGAGGTTTTAATTTTGGATTGAAATTTTTTGTTTCTGTAGAATAATTATTTGGTTTCTTTTGTTAACATTGTAACCGTGTAAATGGGTAAATTATTGGAGGTGATGAAAGGGAAGGTTTGGATTGGTCTTGGTTATCGCCACTAGTTTAGTAACCAGTGGCTTCAATTTCAAATAATGTAATTTGTCATCGCATTATATATTAGGTGTATGATATTATATGCATACCAGTAGACTTATGTTAATTGGATAAATTAAGACTTAACCCTAGGCTTGAAATTTAGCAAATATGATTTGACATATAAATTATATCAAAATTATGAGCTTGATTAGAGATATGAGTGAATTTTTGGGTCTAGGATAGACATATAATAATATAGGTGTCTACAAACTCGCGTGCTTACAAATATTGCATAATTGGTAGATTGGGAACGTTCTGAAGCTTTGCGAAAAGGGAAGGAAAAATCTTGAGGATTTGTGGCACGTGTTCAGCATTCAAAGTATGTTAAGACTTTCAGACTTCGTTGATAAAAATGGAATAGACCATGGGTAAGGGCGAAAGATGGAGGTCTCATACCAATGGTGTAACGGGCATTGGTACGAGTACCGGTGTTATAAAGGGAAAGTTTATTACTGTAGAATGCAGATTGTAATCCGAGAATGCCAAAGCATATGGACATTAGCTGATATATTATTGAATTGATTTATTATGTGTGATTGTGTTCTTTATTGAACTCGTATACTTGTGATAACGAAGGTGATTACATATTATGCTGACAGTTGATTGATTAAGAAGCATCATCATCCCTTTTTTTTTTATAATTGAAATCATATTGTGCACATGTATTGACATGAGATTGAGTATAAGTTGGGCACGTGGAGATCGTCCGTGCTGGGATTGTGAGATGTTAAGATTATAATTTGAGCACGTGGAGATCGTCCGTGCGAATATTATTGATTAAACGGAAAAGGGCCTAAAATACCCTCGAAGTATTGGAAATGGTACACAATTACCCCCCATCCACCTATTGGCCCCCAAATACCCTTCCCATCCACCTTTGGGTCCAAATTTACCCCCTTCATAACAGATTACAATTTAAAATAATTAAATAATACTTTTAATTACGTGGCACTCAACCATTGGTTGTAATTTTAAACTCACCCATTACCCACCCATTTTAACTTAACCCGCCCCAAATGTTATTAAACCCGCCCCAACTGACCCAATACAAAAAAACCCATCTAATTAAAAGAACCCTAAAACCCAAATAAACGTAACACTACACTTCTTCCAATTTATTTCACTATCTACAGAGGGTTTAGAACATCAATGTTCTTCTTCTTCAATTTGTTATAAATGTCAACTTCTTCTTCGATTTCTTCCCCTGAAGAACTTCAATCTCGTACATGTAAGTGCGGATTTATGGCAAGATATTTTACTGCTACAACTCTTGAAAATGGTGGACGTCGATTCTACCGATGTCGTCGTCTTGGGTCAAATTCTTGTGGTTATTGGAATTGGATTGATGACAAACTTCCACGTCATGTGTCAACCATGATTCATAATCAAAAAGTTGAATTAGATTCAATTCGGAAAGAAAGAAATCATTTGAAGAAGATTGTGGAGGATATGGGTGGCATTGAAGATCCTTATTTGAAGGATATGATTGCCGACGAAATGTCTGAGTTAAAAGATATGAATGAAAATGAAATTTCTGATTTGACGAAAGTTTCTGCCTTGAAGGGAAAAATGTCAAATTTGGAGTTGACGGATAAAATTGAGAGTTTAGAAGAATGTATCTAGCTTGGATGATAAAGTTTCGAAGTTAGAGTTGAAAGTTCATCAATTGATAAGTTTGCTTGCAGTTTCTTGGGCTATTATTGTTGGTTTTGTAGCTGCCAAGATGATGTAGTGTGGTGCTATTGTTTGTGTTAAGTTAGTATTATTTGACTGTTAGTTTTGTGGTTTTTGGTTATTGTAACGACGGAATTTTGCAGCTTGATAAGCTGCATTTTGTTTTGAAAATTTGTCAAAATGATGTAGGTTGTTGTTCTGCCTATTAATGAAGAATTATGCAACTTGATAAGCTTCATTTTTTTGCATTTTGATGTAAACTATACATGAGAATGTAACTACATTCTCATGGTACACATAACTAGAAAGTAATAGCATATACCACAGGCAAAAATTGCAGAAGTGATGGATACTACTAGTGCTACCAGTAGTAGTTTCTTCTTTTCTAAACAATAAGGGAGATCAAGAAAGGAGGAAAATAACATATTTTTGGTTGAAAAGGAGACATTAGAAATAAGATGCAGCATGGAAGCACCTAACCTTTGTTCGAGTGCTCAAAAAGCTTAATGTTAAACTCTACTTGACTTGAATTATTAGGTAATCTTGACAGATCAATCAAATCACCATACCATAATAAGCACTCTCCACTATTGCTGTAAGCATAAGCATTGCATGAGCAATTGGATGAACATATATATTCAAATATCAGATCATTTCTCCCTTTCATTGATTCAGATGACACATGAAGTTTTACATTTAACATACGGATAAACTTTTTGTTATTGCTGCCACACTGCAACAGAATTTTTCTCACACACCCACCTGAATAGTTTCTAATATCCCAATCTAATTTAAACTTCGGTTCATAAACTTTTAAAAATTCACAGGGTGGACTGGCATTCATGTCACAAATTCCAAAAGCACCACAGAAATTTATTCGGTCACAATTATCAGTAGATCGAGACCATGCTAACTGCCAACTCTGATGATCTTTAGACCAGACCCATTGCAATCAAAAGTCTCTAGTTATGTGTACCATGAGAATGTAAATATATGATTAAATCAAATAATTTGCAAATTGCAACTACTCAGTGAAATACATAAGATGTAAACTATACATAGTACCATGTGACTGATGGAGACAAACACACTTCAACAAGAAAGGTAACTACCTGAAGAAGGCTCGCTATATTACTGAATGGTCACAACATTCAGAAGCCAAACTTACATAAAAAAACCAATCTCAGACATTAACATAACAGAACTCAACATTCCAATCTCAGACATCAAAACTGAGAACAAAACTCAGCAATTTGCCAACAACCTAGCATTCCTAGCTATCTCAGACATAAAAACTGAGAACAGAACTCAACAATTTGCCAACAACCTAGCATTTCAATCTCAGACATTAAAACTGATAACAGAACTTAACAATTTCATAAATTTTTCAGGTCACATAGCATTTTCAGCCCATAAAACATTGTCAGACTAATTTGTCATTAGCATACATGGCCAGTGACACACGGTTAAGTATCAGAAAATAGCAAACTAAGAAGTTTCAATGTGCCATTACATACTAAACAAAAACTTAAAACCACTACTTAGCAACTACTTTCTAATGCTTTCCCCTCTTTGCCTTAAGCTTGCCAATTTTTTTCTCCTTGTCTTTTGTCAACTGATTTGAGGTCACACATGCTTTGCCTTTCCAAGTTAGCTTTTTTGGTGAGTATGGCAGATTAGTAGGAATAGAAGCACCATTTTCATCACCCCTGAAACTAATCCTTCTTGAACCAATTGGTTGTTGTTGCAGCTTCTTCATTTGTAGTCTAGTCTTTTCCTCAGATATCATCCTAGGTGCAAACACTGTATCCTCATCCTCAGATTCAATACCATCTTCAAGTTCACCTTCATCAACAGTTGCAATTAAAGGTGCAACAACTATTTCTTTTCCACTGTTTTTAGACCTCTTTGGAATTGCATCAACTTTGTCCTTTGAAACATTTTTTCTCTTTGATTTTGAAGGACCA